AACAAAGCAAGCGATGCAAAGTAGCAGCCGGTAGGTCCAAACCAGCAGATGACTGCGATGGCCCCTTCTTTCGAGAAGCCGTCACATGACTGGCAAGCGGCGGAGGCATTTGGGCAACATGCTGCGATATGCTGCGATGCTTGAACTAGATGCCTGGCTTTTGGGGGCCCTTTTAAGTTGAGCTCGGGGTAGAGGACCTAAGTCAGATGATCTACCTACATGATCCTGCACGTTCTTGCTGAGCAAAGCGGAGAGTGCCAGCCTTCCAGGAGCCTGCTCGAAACGGCGGCATGCCATATGTCAGGACCTTACAGGAGTGAGGTGGCGCCTCGTGCTCCAAGATGAACTCGACCAATTCGCAGGGCTATGAACAAAACAGCCTGTTCATTGTTTCCTGTCGTGCCTACGATGGGCGGCCGTTACCCAGCCCATTTGCTTGCTGGGTTTTCTTTATGTTGGGAGACAAATGAGTTTGTACGGAGTAAGCTTCTGGAGACGGTGCGCAAGTCCGGCCACATCGCCAGAATTTTTGCTGACACCATTGGGCCCAGGATTGTTGTGCACCATTGTGCACCTTTGTCATTGTTCTTTGTAGGGATTTCCATTCTAGATTTTCAATTTTGCTTGCGCAGCTGATCTTTCGGAATCTCAGTTACCACTGCCGCTTGCAGTAGCCAAAGGGAAACAGTCTGGCAGCGTTCCGAACAGCTGGCAGCTGGGCTGAGGTGCATTCAGTGCCAAGCATGTCTGAGCGCAGTGTGCCGAGCCTTGGATGCTTCATGACTCTTGCTTACAATCATTTGGGAGTTTCCCAAAATTAGGGGTACCCTATTTGGGGGTCCCCATAATAAGGATTATAGTATATTGGGGTCTATATTGGGGTCCCCCTAATTTTGGGAAACTACCATTTCAATCCCGCTTTTGACTTTCTAGTGGAAGATATCGGTGTGCCAAGTTCTGTTTCAAACTTAGTGACTCGGTGCCTGCGTTGAGGACTCGGAGTTTTCGACACGATGGATGCTTCTGATTCTGACACCTCTCTAGAGAGATCCCTTCTCATGCGAGTTTTTCAATCTTGTGAATCAAAGCCGCTCCACGTACTTCTATTGTGACAACCACAACAAGCCTCAAACGCCTCAATTCCAATCCTTCAATTCCAATTCTTCAACGTTGACCCCAGTCCCTGACTGGACTCTGGCGGTGTCACTTCACACGAGGGGACAGGGAATTATATGGGGGAATATTATAGGGATTGTAAGAAAGGATGAGAGGAGTTAAGACTATAGTCTAGAGTTCATATCGGAGCCAAGGAGCCGCCCTGCGCCCATGCGCAACGACACCCCGAAGGCCCTGCACTGCAGCGCTTCATGCTTGCCACGGGTTCACCAGATCGGATTATGGTGCCAAAAGTCGAGAGTGGGGATGCTCTTTTAGCACTTGGATCCTGCAGGCTCAAGCTGTTGACCTAGGCTAAGATCAAGATACCCACAGACAGGATAAACCAAAATCATGTGGCGGACGCTGAAAGTGATATTGCCATAGTTTGCTCGTGCGGGTTCGCGCAACAGCTACAATCATGCGGCATGCAGCGAAGAGCCCGAAAGAGATCGAGCTTAAGCTGCTTGCAGTCGGTTTGACAGGTGGGAGCTTTCATCCCCTGCGAAGGCGCCTCTCTGCTGTCTTCGCTTACATCAGATGTTCTGCCTAACCCGCCTCTTACGTTTTAACTGTCGTACTTCCCTGCATATCTTGTATTAAAAGCCGCAGAGCATGAGCAAGAAGAGAGGGAACGCATGTCACATGATGTCGGCTTGCAGCTTCAAGATGGGACATTGGGCTCCTGTCTACAAGTACAGGCTCTACGTACTGCACAGTGTACAGTTGCAAGGGACATGTTGCAACTATTCTAGTTGGGCGCCTTGATGTATCTTGATGTACATATAACGAGGCAGTAGACAAACGTACCGACGATACTGGCCTTCCGATACTCAACATAGTTCCCCTTCCTTGATGCGGCGCAGAGGCTCTGACGATTCTGCCGCCGCTTGCAGCAACAGCAACAGCCCCAACGAGGTTGGCACGTGCCTCCAGGCTGTTCACTTGTAGGGTTTGGGTTCAGGTCCCAAGTCGGTTTCTTCGGATTCTGCTGGACGCGTGCTGAGTGAGGTCACCACTGTTTCTGCTTGCTTACCTGCAGGTGCCGCCGCTTCCAATGCTTTTGGGCAATCTACGGAGTGTCGAAAAGCCTCCGAAGGAGTCTATGTGGCGCCAGGCCAGTCACAGCTTCTTTTCCCTGCCAGCAAGCCGCAGTTCGGCTCCCCCTGCAGGAAGTGAACCAACAAGCCCACCTCTTCCTTCCAGGACCGGGCTTCAAAGCTGCCTGTCAGCCTGCTGGTCAGAAAATGATGTCTTTTAACACAGCGACGGGAGGTGCGCGGGCCGGCTCGGAGACGTTGGGCATCACAGACTTCGAAGCCAAGCCTGAGGAAGCAGCAGCTTGGAGAGCAGATGATAGATCCCGGACCAGTGATGTCCTGGACCTCCAAGATGTAAAGCTGCACATATGCAGGGTGTAAGAGGAAATCTCAGAAATCTGAAAACTTTGCCTAACCATGCGGACCCAAGATCCTCAAATCAAAGCCTTACAAGCATAAAGTTCAGGGCTCAGGGCTCAGGGCTAGACATGTGTTATATAGGGATAGTGGAGAAGAAAGTGGAGGCTATCAAATGTAATCCTGGCACCATCTAGGCCGAGATTCTATAGTCGTTGGGAGTCCAAGCTACACATCATGAGCATTTGTCTAATTTCCTGGCAGCTCTTCACGACTGTTCAAGACCATGAGAACAAGAGCTTTTCACAACTCGTTTTTGCAAGTACCAGCCGCGCACTGCTTTACTGAGACTTTTGGACACTCTCCTTGCAATCCCCTTCCTGCATATCCCGCGGGTCTGCAAGCTTTGCATGCCTCCTTTCTGAAAAGCTCCCATATGAGTCTTGGAGCGTTTTCTGTTACTTCCGGTTCGCAACCATCATTCCGGGCTCTCGGTGCAATTTAATGGATTGACCGCCGTCTTCGGAGCCCCAGCTACACATCATCTTACTGGTATTATAACCGCTATGTAGTCCCTATAAGATATACTCCCTTATGGCGCAACTTATGCCCTACTAAAAACCAGGAAATCATAAGCATTTGTCTGACTCAGTAAGGTCTAATCCATCCCAGTACATCCGTGCAGTCCGCAAGGGTGCCCCTGTTGTGAGAAATCCAGCTCGAGTCTTGCGTGGCTTCTGGTTGCTATTTCTAGTTCCCCAGGCAGAGCTGCTTGGTCCAGATGGCTTCAGAAGAGCAGCTCAGCTAGCAAGGAGGATCCAAAGTAAACTTGGACAAAGGGCTTTCAGCAACTTGGTTTAGTCAAGGTGCCTCGTTAGGCTCTTTTGTAGGCTTTGCCGATTTGGGGAACGCAACTTCGGCAAATCCCGCATGGCGGCAGAACCTCACAACTGGTCTCCGCATAGATTGCCGCGCGCATGCATGTACATCAGCGCAGCACGATGCTAATTGAAAAATGAGTTACCGTCATTGCCAGATCACGAATTAGGGTTGGGTGGGGCACCTGAATGGCTTGCCATTTTGAACATCTCGTTGCGCCCAGGTGGAGAAGCTCCAGTGGCTGCAGCCATGTCCTTAATGCGTCTTGCCGCCTTCTGCATATGCCTGAAAGATGCGTCGGCTGAGGAAGCGCGGACGCAGGTACACGAAGGAGGCGCAGGCCAAGAAGCACCTCAATGTCTTCCACACCCTGCGCAGCCTGGCTTGACGGTGCTGGGGCAAGGCAACGCCAATCAGCGCCATTTTTCCCTGTGGACAACTGAGGCTGGCGCCCAAATTGGCTTCGAAACTACCCAGTCGCCGAACATTACCCGCTGCTTGTTGAGCAGGCTGTGCGGATCTGGGCTCACCAGCCACTTGCAGCCACTGAGGCTTGGAGAATGTTCAGTTGCAGATGTTTCAGTATGTTTCAACGTCACTGTCACAGGGGCCCCCGGAAGAGGACCCCTTCAAATTGGGGAGACCAAAAAACCCTCAAGAGCAATCAAGAGCATGTGAGGTGGTACCGCTGAATCCTGGATTAGCCACTTCCGTGCCCGAGCTTTCGATTCATCATCGAGAGCATGGTCGTTCCAGCCGGCAATGGAAGGGCACAAAGCGCTTTGCCCAGACCTTTGCGCTGTGATGACGCAACATCCCCGCAGGGCCCGCCCAGAAGTGCCAAGTCCAGAAGTTCTACACAGAGCTGTTGTACAATGCAGCCGCCGAAGATGTCCGCAGTTGTGACCCAGCAGGCCCTCCGTTGTCGCGTCGAAGATGGGGCCCAACTTGGCAGATGCCCGCAACATTGCCGGGCACGAAGTACGTTCTGGAGGTCGCCGTCATCTGGTGCTTCGCGTCAGAGCTGGGCAGATTGCTGACCAAAATGCGCATGCCATTAGAGTGAGGGTGAGGGAGCCGCAGAGTGGTTGCAAGGTCTAGCCATGGGGGGTACCTGCAGAATCTCAGGTCGATCAGCTGTCGGACAGGGATGGACAGGGCTGTATGGCACTTCATGTTTGCCGGGCGTTCCTTTTCAGACGTGTTTGATCTTTAAGCTAGTGTGAGCCTCATTGCGCCCCCCTTCCGCCGCAGAGCCCTTAGGCTCAAAACAGTTAGGGTGGATGCCATGCTCCTGAATACTAGGGGAGCATCGGGAT